AAACGGTATCTATCTTGTGGTTTTATTGCTAGCAATTATTAATCGCGTGTTTTAATTGATCCTTATTAAGTTATTCAAAATTGTTTATATAATAATACGTCAAGGTGTTCCTATGGGTCTAGCTGTAGAGTAACAGTGCGTGAAAATGACAAGACTTTAATCGTTTTTCATGTCCTCGAGATAGATAAGAGAAAACGGTTCTGTAATTGTCAGATAAAATTGAAATAAAGACTTTTTAGCTGCACTTTGTGTATGTGTTTTGTTGATATTTCCGATTTGTTTAGCGGTAAATAAGATACAGTAAGCCGTTTCTCGCCTTGCTAGGCGATCGCTCCTATTTTCCTTTTAATAGACGTTCCGGTAAACCGGGCTCAAGTTACTTACCGGCAAGTCTAGGCAAGCCTATTGTTCAAGCCTAAGTTCAAAAATACCACTAATCGTCCCCAGTTCACTTTGGAAAAGAGTTCAGAATGGAGTTCCTTCAACTTTTGGAGATTCGAACCAGGCAGTTTGCAAAAGTTTTCTTTCATTGATTCTATTTCATTTATATGAATTTGTCTCGCTACTAAGCGGTAGCGATTGAAACGCACTCGAAGGAGAGAATGTCTTATACCTAAGTTCACTTAGAATATCACAATTACCTACTGACTAAATAGCGGGTTATATGACTTGAGACACAATAGAACATACCGGCAACCAACCAAATTGCTTCTTGAAAGGTGTTCACCAATCAAAACACAACTTGGACATTGTCATACCCAGATAAGGATATGACGCACACGATAAAAAATTAACTATGACATCATCCATCTAAAAATAGTACATGACCTTATCTTTATAAGATTTCTGCACATTTTTTCATGAGATAAAGACGAAAGGTTATGACGTCATTGGCGTTAATGTATTCCTGCGCAAGTTAATGAAATTCCTGCGCAAAAACCCGGAGTAACCGGTCTCTCTTACAATACTTTTTTCCCCTGAAATTTAGCTTGGAATTCGTTTTACACCGTGGAAAACCCAGATTTATTAGTTTGGCGGTTAAATTCCCCGCCAACAGATCAAAGTTTCAGTTCTGTACTACGGCCCGAAGTATAATAAATTTCTCGCGAACTGTACTGCTGTGTTTGTGTTTTTTTCTTCCAAATCCAGCGGCCGAAACAATCCTAAGTATACTTTTCAATACCCTTTTAAAAATAACACCACATAATAGGCAAGAAAGAAGAAGAAGAAAAGAAAGAACAGAGAAGGGACCTTCACGACAATATTCGCGATGGGTTACCCATCCAGTTCCTAACGCCACCCGATAGGGGCTTAACTTGAGTGGCGCTACTAAAATGCCGAGTTTTGCGATGGTTATTTGGAGATACGTATTGCTAGTTTATGTTGCGGTGTTTGACATGAATTATCCTCGGTGTCGAGATTGTACATTTTCAGCAAGTCTTAGTTACGTTGCGGGAGACAGAAATTATACTCGAATTGAATTACAGCCACGTGCTATGCACCTAGCGGGCTAGACTTGCGATGAAGAAGTTAAGACGTCTGTTACACGAAAGGAGAAAAGTAAGGGTATTTGTATGGAAGGGTATGCGGAAAAATATCGTTTTTTACTATTCCTTCGTATTAACAATTAATCCGCAACCACGACGCCGAGCTGTACGCTCCCATAGCGTCTTGTTATAACAGCTTACACGGCCGGTCGAATCCGTCACTTATATTTTATCATTCTATAAAACATGCAGGAAGCGCAGTTAATGTTACCCTAGGAACCCGGGAAGGAATTATTGTTTAAAATTTTTTGTAATCAAGGTAGCAGTAAAATATGGCGGGCTAAATAAGCGACATAGGTGCTTGTAATGAAATAGATTTTGTAACATCTTCCGAGCGTTATTTCTCTATAAAAAATACACAGAGAGAACGGTAATAGCACAATAAAGATCTCAATCGCGGCGTACAAAGTAAAGGAAAACGACATCAAAATCACGAAAAATTTAACTCGCCGAAATTGATTCCCCCAACAATAGGGACTTTACGAACCATAACGCGACGCAGTTTGAAAACACCGAAACTGAGAAGGGCCCGGGGCGAGAACGCCGTTACGAGCGCGGGAAAAACAAAGTTACGGATGCGAACGCGACGACAGAGGCAGAGCTGTGTAAATCCTTTAAACTCCGCTAAACACATTTTCGTTTTATAGCTGGTGTTATACATCATATATGGCAACATTCAGAGAGGCAAGGGAAGCTTCATTGTTTGCCAGTCAAGATGGAAGCATTGATGATACAGAGTTTACCCTGTTGTACGATTTAAATTCTTCTGAAAATCTCGAATTTCTTTATTGGAAGTATGGTCGCTTCGATCTTGATTCTATGACAGATGATGAGTGTAAGGCTGAGTTTCGGTTTTTCAAGAACGATAGTTATTTACTCGGAGAAGTTCTTGATATTCCAGACATAATGAAATGCCCCAATGGCGTTCTTATTACTCATACAGCCCTAGATTTGTACTTTGGTCATTATAACACAACGGGGAAGGAGGAAAAGTCATAGAAAAATATATCGCGTCTAATGCAATATATAACATGAAATTGTAATGCCTGCAACCTACTGACCACCCGCCCCTACCCCTTATCCTGCTTTTTAGTTATTAATGACTACAGCCTTGGGACTGAAATACAACTCACAATTTTTTCAATACAACTTGATTGTGTCTTAATCATTAAACTGATTTTAGTGAATAGTACTGTTAACCCTACAAGATAGATTTTAAAATTAAGAAATGTAAACTTAATATTTGGCCTCAACATACTCCCTCCCCTAGATTCCACAGCCCTTTTTATCCTAGGCAGTTTTTTAAAACCTGTTTTCGAACACATAAAGTATCACTATTTTCTTTTATATCAGACTGTAAATACAGAATTTTATTGCAGTTTACGCAACAGAATGCAAATTTTCAAAAAACTTATTCAACTATTCTAGACAAAAAATATTTTCTAATATGCCACCATCCAATGAGATAACTGCAATAATAGAACATAACAAAAGGCGGGCTCCTCGGCACAAGAAAAATCCGGTGCCACTGTTGAAATACTAACATTGATCGCTGACAGAAAACGTTCGTCGTGACTCTTGTCAAAACAAAGACAATAGTTAATAGAATACACAAACTGGTTTTCAAAATCAAGCGACAGCTATACCAGCAATAATGGTGAATTTTAAGTGAATCAGGTAGCTATTTGTTCACAAGTTTGTCCAACAAATTGATCAGTTCTTTAGTTTGGTCTTGTTGCTGTCTCAACATCAGTTGTTGTGACGCCAAGAATTGCTGTTGCTGCTGTTGTTGTTGTTCTTGTATTAGCCGCATCATTTCACTTTGATTCGGTGAATTAAAATACCCACATGATCCCTTACGGACCTTTTATTCACAGCAAAGACAGGCTTGGGACAGGTATTCAAAGTGTTGGCTATTCTATCCCAAATTTCGCTTCTTTGCGACGAACCCTTTCTTGTTTTGAACGGATTCTCGGAAACAACCTCTCTGCATAACAGGACATCGTGCTCCCTTGTCCAGTACATCACATTACTGCCTGAAAAAAAAAAAAGGTCTGTTTTAGTTTGTTTTTAAACTCACCTTAATCTTATTTTCACGCAGGACAAGAAATTGATTCTTCTAATAAACTAAATTGGACTTACTTGCCAGTTTTCGACTTTGGTATCGAACTCGGCGGGTCTGCGTGTTGTCCATTCATCATAGCGGTAACCAATTGACCTGCAGTAAGAGGCAAATTAAAATGTTTGTTTCGTATTTTTTTTTACAATAAATAACATTTTCATGGACTTAGAAAAACAGTTTTGCATATAAAGTAGCAAAAGAAAATTTAATTCTAGGTCAAATTCAGTAGAAAGTACTCACGTTTTCTGGAAACGCTGCAAGTGCCAACCTCGTGTTCTGAACGTGAAGAAGGCGCGTTGTAGTTTAGCGCCAAGCTTGCGCAGTGAAGCACTTTGTGAGCAAATTACTTCTGGTGACGTTTCAGGCTGAGTCGCGCTCTGGTTCGCAAAGTCCCCAATGTCATCAAGACAACAAACCGCTTCACCAAGACTCGCGAGAAGACCTTCCAATCCTCTTTGAGCGCGCGTATTAGACTGCACCCGGGTTTCGTAGTGGGTTGTCTTAGAATCTTTTTGGCTGCCTTGAGCAACGTTTTCCGGAGGGCATCATTAAGCCTTATGAATTAACAAGTCTCAGGATTGGCGAAGTCTGCTGCGTGCAATATTTCCTGGTATTTCGTCTCATTTGGCTACACGGCCTTACAAAGTAGGTTCTAGGGGTGAAATCTATTCGGCGAGATGAAAATTGATGCCGATTTCAAAAGCGAGCCGGTTTATAAACAAACAAACAAAAAGAAGTTTTCTAAATACTATTTTTGCTTGTTTTTAAATTGCGTCTATTAATGTTAATTTTTATCTTTTTATAGTAATAGTGTGAAATTATTTTAATATTAATTTTGTTTTTATGTCTTATAGAGTGCCACAAGTTTATCAGTTTTTTTCATAACTTTCGCGTGTTTACCTTCTTTAAATAAAGGCGTTACCTTACCTTTTAAAAGGATTTTCCGAAACAACATTTCAGTCACACTACTTGCTCTCTTGAATAAATAAAATATGTTGTTGTCGCACTTGATTCATTAATTTTTTATTCATGTTTCGATTTTAAATTGTTGTAACGTTTATGATTTGTAGTGTCTCGCGCACATTTCGTCGTGGATGCACAACAAACTTAGTACGGCGCGCAGTTTCTGTAGACCGCAGAGTTATAGGAAAATTTAAAGTAAGTTGTTAACTACTCTATTTCTTCAGTCCAGAAGAAAAAAACAATGTACCTTTCAATTAAGGTTACTTTCAGATTTTGTGATGTATTATTCAGGCTAGTTTACACGCAACGGTTTATTGGCCCGATTTTCCAAAGAAAACAAGTTGAACACAAAAATCGGCTCGATTTAGCATATAGGCCTTTTATTTACACAGAAAGATCGATCTAGAATCACAATTTGTAAATTGGCCTCTGCCAAAGAGTTTCGTGAACTACATGTAAAACTAGCCTCCCACGTAGACGTTCTTAGGGGCTCGTCACGCGCTGCTGCCCTTTTTTGGGGGCAAGAATTCGTTCCCGAGCCTAGTACTGTGAACAAATTTATAAGTCAAATTTAGAGTCTATTTGTTCAATGGAAGGTTTTTTTTTTTCACTTTAGGATATTTTTTTCCTGAAATCACCCAACCCCTCCCTCCTAAATTTAACTAATCGATATAGTTGAGAATGATTTTTTGCAATGTCCTAGAGTTTATTAGTTTAAAGTTTATTGTTTTAAGTAAATTAAAAGTATGTAAACGGAAGATGCACTCAGTTAAGACTTGTCTTAATCTATATTATGGTTTGCCCAAGATATTATTATATTTACGGTGTTTAAAAGCTCACTTACTGACGAGATGATTATTAAAACCTTCAAGTGATTTAGAAAAAGATTATCTTTCAAACCGCGCTTACTTAACTGATTTCAAGGTTACATGCGACGTTTAGAAAAAACTTCAGTATTTTTTCCGTAAAGATCTTCTTTTGAAGAAGAACGATAAATTAAGTAAAAAACCAAGTAAAGATCATGATACGACATGTCAAACAGAAAACATAAATTAATATAGAGTGTTTTCACTCACGTGGCCAGGATCTATGCAAAATTGTGGAAGCAAAAAAAATTGTTTACATAAGAAAAGAGTTCAACTCCCACAGTCAGGATGGCTGCCGTTTCATTGTTTTGGGACACCAATATGGCCGCCGTGACGTCATGTGAAAACGTTCCACAGTGCCAACAAGGATAAATCGGTTAGCTGGTATTGTAATTTTTCAGACGGGTTGTATAAATATCTGCCAACTGCCCCTGTTTTACTTTATCGTATAATTACAATGCATTTTAGACACACTATGAACTGAAAGTAACTCAGTGCTTCTTTTAATTGTGCAGCTCTAGAGGAACAATTGGATATTGACGTTTCTTTCGCCTTGGACTATTCTTCAAGTGTATCAGAAGGCGAAGAATTTGAAAAACAAGTTGAGTTTGTAAAACACATTCAGCGATTTTGGAATATATCTGATAAGGATTTCCATCTTGTTGTGTACGGGGCCAGTGCCGAAAAAATTCCTTTTCATCCACATGATGAAAGATTTCCTGAGTGGCTTCGTAACCTGAAGACCACAAAATGGGGCGGAAGTCAGTGTAGACGAATGGACTTGGCACTCAGGAAGGCAGCTGATTATTTCAGTTCAGATACCAGCGAAAATCATCGTCTCATCGTGCTGATAACAGCTGGTAAGCAGGAATCAGGCAAGAACAACAAAGAAGAAGATCAAGGGCTTCTCGTATCAGCAACTGCAGCACTACAGGCCGAAAATGTAAAAGTCATCGTTTTACCGGTTGGACTGGAAGCAGATTTCGTGGAGCTTGGGCTGATAGTAAAAAGACCCCAGTATTTGTTTCCATTGTCTAGCTTTGATGACTTGAGTTCTGGTACTATAGCAAAAGAAATTGTATCCAACATCAACAAAACCGTAGGTGAGTATTTTTTTTTTCGTATACCCTGCATTAGTGTTGTTCTCGGCTAGTGCAAATAATGATTCTTCGTTTTTTATGTATTCTGTGGTATCGTAGAGTCCAGGCAAAAGCGTAAACAAATAAACACAAGACAAAACCCAAGGCAAAGCCCAATCATGAAATGTGTTTCCTCCGTCGTGGGCGGATTACCTAGAAGTAGTTGCGAGTCTCTCTCCGTAAGTGACTCATTTCAAATAAAAAATCTGGCAAACAGACTTGGAATGAAAACAACATTCTGGCAAAAGGGGGGAATTTCATATATCCCATGATGCATCGCTTCATACTATATTATCAAGCTTCCGAACGCACGTGATCCTATCAGTTCAACAGGGACGTGACAGTTGAACNGACTCATTTCAAATAAAAAATCTGGCAAACAGACTTGGAATGAAAACAACATTCTGGCAAAAGGGGGGAATTTCATATATCCCATGATGCATCGCTTCATACTATATTATCAAGCTTCCGAACGCACGTGATCCTATCAGTTCAACAGGGACGTGACAGTTGAACAACAATGGAAAGCGACTTGTTTTGCTGATAAAACTTTCTTTACCTTTGCTTTGTCGATCTATTTACGATTTTAGTTTTACTGTTCCAAATATATCACTTGTTAAGTCAAAGAGAGTGTTTTGGCCGCCGACTATGAGTTAACTAGCCTTACGATAGGCAGTCCACGCAAATGTTCTTAGAAGCTAGCGAGGAAGGTCTTTGCTTCAGTAAGACCTGTTTTAACGTGCGTTGATAAAACTCTCCATGGATTAACAAGCGATTTCCACGTACTTGTCATGAAATAAATACATATTCTGGGTGTGACATTTCTCTTCGTTGCTTGTTTGTGATCGCGGTGCTCATATTGTCAGTTCAATAATTCATCGATGTAGTACAACAACCGTACGGTGACCGCACATGCTTTTACTTCAACAAGCTCAGCTTACATGCAGTCGAAAATACCGAGACCGTTAAAGTACAAAGTGACGTCTATCGCAGATAAAATTCAAAGGAGGGGAACAGCTCCAACAAACAATAAAAATAACAAAGACATCTACATTTTTCGTAACGCAACACCAGCAAGGCATCATTTTCAAACATAAACAGAAAAAAGCTTTATTAAGAAATGGCCAAATACATACACAAAAACACCCACTTCTTCGCTACAATGGATCCTAAAAGAATTATCAAAATGTCTTTAAAGGTTTTATACACCAGTTGAGGTCCTATGGCATGCTATTCCATGACATTTGCTGGCCTGTATATTTCAGGTTCGCCGAGCGCGTTTGCGACCGGAAGCCACCATGAAAAACCAATTTTACCTAAAATAATGAGAGAAAAAAGCCTTAATACTATAACCCATTGAATTTAAACATTCATCACACCCTCAAGAGATAATATTTGTGTTTTGATCAGCGAAAAAAGAGCGAATTCAAAAAAAAAATGTCCCATCTTCGCAGGACTTAGCACAAAGAAATTGAAACCTTCGTCTTGCATCTTAGCCGAGAAAGGGCAGAAAATGTGATATTTCAAAACGATGAAACCCATAAAAATCGCGAGGTCGAAGGAGGTGGGAGCGCGGAACTTGTATCAACCACTCCTTGTCCGCCGATTTAAATAATTCCGAGCGTAACGACTTTATAATCTCGTCGCGCGCGAAGCACGAGTAGTCTGCTAACCGCGCGTGGTCTTAGCCAGCTGCAAAATTCGACGCGCCATAAATCTTTTCATGAATATATATTCTTGGTGTCCGCCAAAGACGTCATGAAGCATTTTGCGTTTCCAGACAACATAGACTTTGCCGCCGATGACTAAGGTTTTGATGTGTTTATTCATCGTCTGTGAAACAAAGTTTACTATCGGTGAATCACGAACAATTTCCCATGCAAATGAAACACAAGCACAGCAGGTGCAAAACCTCGCCCAGGAAGATTTTCTACCGAAACTCCTCTGGAACGAGAACGGCGACTTCAAATTTAGCGTGAACAACGAAGGAGAAGACGTCAATAAGAAACCGCGGAGCAGAGAGAACATCGCCCAGCACAGCGAAGGCAACGCCACCAACAAGAGACAGAGGAACAGATTGGAATCAGAGGCATTATGATCGTTTTACGCTGTGGAAAACCCAGATTTCTTAGTTTGCCGGTTTCCCCGCCGATATATAGATCAACGTCTGCAAAGCTTCAGTTCAGTATTACGGCCCGAAGAATAATTTTCAGGCGAACTACACTGCCATATTTGTTCTTTGTTTTTGCCTTTTTCTAAATCCGGACTCCGAAATAATGCTAAATCTGCTTCTCAATACACTGTTAACAATAACACTACATAATACGCAAAAAAGAAGGAGAAGAAAAGAGAGAACAAGGTATGGACCTTTACGACGATATTCGCGGTTGGTCACCCATCCAGTTCTTAACCCCGACCGACAAAATCATCTAAATAAATATTTACCTGCGAGTTAAAACAGCATGGCTTAACAGGGTCGTAAACGAGAGCAATAATGCGTGAAATGACCATGGAAACATTTTACATTATCAATCAGATACCAAAGATTAACAGGGCTCATTGAAACTTACCTTGGATGAGCTGCATCTTGAAATTCCGGTCGTTGAAAATCTCCCTCGAAACCCTCGAACGCTCTTTCCACCGCGGAGAGAAGATAGAAATTAGGCGCGAAGCATCATGGGATATATGAAATTCCCCCCTTTATTCTGGCATGGAGGTATTAATCCAATATTCAAGCTGCAAAATAAGAGAAAATTATCTTCCATCACGTTGTTACTAGTAACCCTTAAGAATAGTCTTGTCAAATGCCGCCCTCCAACAAGAAAAAGTTAAAATGTTACAGAACTTTGCGGAAACATCTTAAGGTGACTCGACCCAGTTTTCTTGGGGGGGTACCATCCTACTTTGAAGCTCTCTGGTATCCCCACCTTTACTTTTATCGTAAGTCTAACACATAGAATGGATAACATATAGATCAATCTACAACATAACATAAAATTTTTGGCGATCGGAGTAAATGTCACGTGGTTATAATGCCACGCCCCTTTGAGGTCTGAGTCGAAAATCTGCTGTTGCAGGGATTTTTTTGGTGAAAATCTCTCGGCTACACATAGAGCGCATTAGTGCCTTGCGCTGAACAGAGTTTCACGAAAATCGCAAAGACCCAATTCGAGAAATTCAGCGGTTTCCAAATTTAGGTCATAATTTATGCGAAAATGATAAGCAAACTTTACACGATTATATCTAACAAACTATGAGACTGATCACTTTATTTTGGGAATCGTTATGACAGATGGGTCCTTGCAAGTCAGCAAAAAGCTTTAGGGCCTTGTAAATGCGCGCGATTTCGAGCAAAGGAAACATAAAGAAATTATAGTTTTCGCTATTTGTTGACCTTTGTCAGCGTTTAAGAGTCCTTCTCACGAAAAAAGCATTTTCTTAAAAATTCGTAGTTTTTTTCCCTTCAAATTTTTTCAGGGCCACAATTGATTAAGTATCTACCGGGACTCTGAATTTCATGGTCATTGAACAACTGGGACATTATCTTCTATATGTCCAAACTTGAGTAAACATTGAAGATTTTTAGCGTTTTGGCTGAGTTTGTGCTTTGGGAGTTGTCTATTGTTTCTAGTCTGTCATGATACAGCATTCTTGTTCAGCACGCGTGCCATGACCGCGCTTGGCTGAACAGCGTCCGAACGCCTAAGTGCTTTAAACATTAGTGATTAGGAATAGGAAACTGAGAACGTTATGCTCCAGATCCAGATCATCATGCAGGCCAAACTGAATCCTAGTCCTGATCACTTAAACTTCACTTTCTTGTTTTGTTACGGTTTGTTGACTCCGAAGTTATTCCTTAAAAATAGCATTTCTGTTGTTCGCTGTTTCTTCGTTATTTTTTTCCCGCAGCCTCTTTAGTGTTATTTTAGCCTCCCCTCCAATAACCCGTGCGAAATGTCTCAAGAAAATCCTGGAATTTCTCGACATTTCCCGATAATCATTCTCGGGAATTCCCGGAAAATTCTTTCGCGTTAATTGGCACCAAGACCAACAATTCTCGGGAATTCTCTGGAATTTCCAAGAATCGACAGAATTTACCAGTACATCATTCAGTTATCACAAGAACCATAAGTCTTATTCCAGCAGTATAACTTTGAAGGGTGCAAGGCTTAAATTGAACTTTCGCTATTTTTAAATGTAAATTGAGATACGAGAGAGGACAAAACAAAAAAGACAACACTCAGCGGGTGCGAGGCGTTAGATCGATTCAGAAATACATTGTCAGTACTCTTTGAAATAGGGTAAACCCAAATTTCAAGCGAATGCTTTAACCAGGTGTTTAACATGTCAGTTACAAATAATACTAAAAAATAATATTTATTGCCCTACTGACAATTGATTAGACACAAACCTCACATTTGATAGCCATTGCTGTCAATGAATGTAATTCCGTGTATAAACTGCTTGACTTCCATTTGCTGATCCGTTTTGCTACAGGCTGCTTAACTCAGTTATTCTAGTAAATAACGATCCAAAGACATTTTGTTTCGGGGTTGAAACAAAATCTAAGTGTTCAGAGGATACGCCGAGGTGACATACACTTTTATAACGTAATAAAAATCACTGTAACTTACCTCTTCGAGGCGAACGCATGTCATTACAGTCAATACTGTTTGACGGACAGACAATACTGTGTGACGGCCGGTAACATTTTTTTAAACTACACGATAGCTGGCCTCACCAGTGATCGCCGCGCTCTATCGTGTTATAGTCACGCTCGTCAGAACTCAAGTTAGGCTGATATAGCGAATACTGGTATGTAAATGCTAGGTCTCTGTTAGGTTTCCTGTTCACTAGGCCCCAGTCCGGGCAAAGGTTTTGACATTCAAGACAAGGTCAAACCTCGACATACATGTGCTTTCCATCACTACGTTATTTTCGCCCTTTTTTCGAACAAGGATCGTCTAACTGACTCACACATCGACGGAATCGAGGTGATACGAATATTGCAGCAATTTTCAAGGTAACAGACACAGACGCTGTAAAGTTTTTTTATAAGGTATCGTATTCCAACAGTATGTCGAGCGTAGTTGATTGGATCGAATAAAACGAAGAATTCACACTGAATTCAGGGTTGTTGCAGTTTGACCTACAAGCAAATCATATGGAGGCAAACAAGGAGAAAGATTTACAGAGGTAAACGGAGGTTCCTGATGAAGAAAAGCATTGCAGTTGGCGCGAAATCGATATGGACCTCGATACAATCTGGTAGTCACCTTGTGCGATATCGCCGCTGACCGGTATATTGACTCAAGAAATTTTTCGTGGACGTGCGAAAACGGATTCCTACAAAAAAGGGTCGTAGACAATATGAGATTCAAAAGTAGAAGGAAAATCGAAAAACTGCACTTGCTAATTTAACTAAGCAGTGGAGTGTTGTTGAATCTTTTAATGATCTAAATGATGCCGTTTCTGCTTGGAACACTCTCTTCCTCGATGTTGCTAATCGTCACACACCTGTAAAGAAGCTAAGAATGAAAGGTACAATAAAGCCGTGGATGACAAAGAAACTGAAGGAAATCATGGAGAGAGCGACTATGCGTTCAAGATTGTTGAAAGATCTGGAGGTGAACAAGAGGAGTGGGACAATTATCGCAGGTTAAAAAACTTAACGAATAGGAAAATCAAGGCGGCTGAAGCTTCGTATTACAAGAATCGATAGAATCTGCCCAGGGTCCGAAAGAGCTGTGGCCCTCACTGAATTCAGTTTGGGGTAATGGAAAGAACATTTCTAGTGCAAGACGGAATATCATATTAGAACCCAAGGCCGTCGCCTCTAAAGTAAACAAGTTCTCTGCAACCATTGGGTGTCGCATCGCCAAAAAATTACGCTCTGTACCGAGGGATGCCTGAAAGAAGTACGAATCTGTTATCCAAGGCGATGGTGAAGATCAATGCGTCAGTTCTAAGGCTGTTTCTAAGATCTTGCATTCGTTGAGAGTCATCAAGGCAGCTGGACTGGACAATATACCGGTAAGGTTTTTGAGAGATGCTGAAGTGGAGCTTTCTCCATCAACAACATATTTCATTAATATAAATCGATCACAGATGGTACTGTCCCTGCCTTGTGGAAGGTCACTCGTGTAACGCCTCTGTATAAAACTGAAGATAATCTTTTGGTGGAAAACTATAGGCCTATTTCTTTGTTGCCAGTACTAAGCAAAGTATTGGAAAGAGTGGTACACACACAAACGAGCGCTTATTTAGATCAGTAAGGCTTGTTATACAAACATCAGTACGGTTTTACACGTGGTCGCAATACGGTACAAGCGGTGGGCCATTGGAATAATACTGTGCTTGATGCCATGGACGGAGAAAAAGTCATAAACCATAAGTCGCAATTTAATGACTTTTGACCTCAGATGAAAGGGGTCGGGCTTGCGTTTGACCGTATACGGACTCGTTGGTGACATAGTCATGGCGACTGATGCCCAACATAACCCGAAGGCAGTTAAGTTGGAAAGCGTTGAGCTTGTCACACAGTGATTCAGTTAAAGTCCATGTTTCCGACCCATAAAGAAGAACACTCAGAACGGTACACTTGTAAAGGCGAGCCTTGATAGCAATTGACAGGTTAGACTTCTAAATACGCTCTAATCTCCAAAAGGCATCCCATGCTTGACCTTGTCGTTTCTTGACATCGTTCTCAGTGGTGGCAATGTAAGAACCGAGGTAGTTAAAGTCATCTACAAAATCAAGGTCGATGCTGTTAACTCGCAGAGTGGAGATGAACTTGGTCGATTGTGAACCAAAATTTTGGTTTTGGTGGCATTGTCATGGAACCAACATTTGCAGCAGCTAAGACAAGTCGATCGAGGAATTTTTGAGCGTCTCCTATACTTAATAGTAGCAAAGCAATGTCATCTGCATAGCCAAGATTACTCAGCTTATATTCTCGATGTCTTCGAGACTGTCTAGGAATCATGGCGAAACCAGGATTGTCAACGGTAGCCTAGTGCATAACCCAGTCCAGAACGATTGCAAATAGGAAGGGTGCTAAAGCGTCGCCTTGAAATACTCCATCAAATGACTTCAAATGATTTATAGACACTGCCACCAACTACAACGGAACTCTTAGTGTTGTTGTAAGGTAATCCAATGCAATGACTATCTTTTCCGGGATGCCATAAGAGCAAAGGATCTGCAGCGTTTTACTCCTGGTAATGCTATCAAAGGCTTTCTTGAAGTCCACGAAGACAAGGACGAGGGGGCGGTTGAACACTGTCGAGCCTTCGATAACACGACGAAGAATTTAATATATATTGATAATGCCAGCGGTTGCACTTTCATTAATCAAAAAACCTACAAATGGCCTTTTACCAACTTTTTCACCTGATTTGACATGAAATAGACCGATTTGGTTGTTTTATCCTGAAAAGTGGATTTTTTTCAAAAAGTTTGGTACTTTGCTTAACCCATTCGCTCCTGGAGATTTTGCCAAAAAACTCGTTTTAAAGTTAGTCGAGTGGTTTTTTGGTCACTGTCTTGCTATAAAGAGCTAAAACTTACCACAAACCGGTTTACAGGTCGTACACTTGATGGCCTTCTGATCCAGATGCAAAATATCAGCTTGCGAAGTTCGGGCATGCGCACTAAAAGTGACACAGCAGTCTTGACTTTTACTTTTCGCTTTCTCTCCTCCCCTCTTTTTTCGCTTTTCTTGCCTCATTTTTTTTCTCTTGCTGGGTATTTAGTAGGCTTCATTTTGGTGGGGATAGTTTTTAGGAAAGCTTTTAGGATCTTAGGATTAGGTGAAAGGAAAGGTAGGTGGGTAATGGAACAAGATTTTCATGGAGATTTTCAGGTCAATGTTACATGGTTTTTTGCTTCTTTCTCCGGTGTCCTTGACTGAATTGTGCTCATTCTGGTATGGTTTGAAAGATCTCTTCACTCTGCACAAGTTAGCGGACAAAGTTGTCCTTGACCGTTAAAACTGATGACGTCACAAAGGGTAGAAAGGACGTGGATCCGCACGGGCGGTTACGGGCGGTTCAGGGGCGAATGGGTTAAAGAAGATTAGTGCAGAAGACTTGGTGTTGAGGGAAGTGAAACCAAACTTTTTCTCACTGCTATGCATGGTACCCAAGAGATGGATACTAAAGCGGAAGATGGAGTAATGGCTTCCCACTTTCAAGGAAAGGAGGTTATCGTACCCCTACCGAGAACCTAAGTCAGACAACGGACTCCAGCAGATCGTGATGGTCCTTGGCCCGAAAAGCTGCAAGGATGGTCCCATTTGCAGATAATAAACAAAAAACACGTACCTCCTTACAATCACTCCTGATCGGACTAAATTGCCCAAGTGCAGTGCGACTAAGAGAATTGTTTGCGGAAATGAGAATGAAGCCTATGCAGTGCGATCACTACTGGGATGGCACGTTAACGGTCCTTTTGGTCACAAGAGCAGTAAACAAGTACATTGTAACCATATTCAGGTCCTTTAGAGTAACACGGAGGACAAAGTGAATTGATACATCGTTGCTAAGATAGAGATTAAGGAGCGGCTAACCCATCAAGTGGTTTCTCGAATGTTTGAGGTGGACTTTGCCGAAAGAGAATACGGATTATCAAGAGAAGACCGTCACTTCCTAAAGATTGTAGAAGATAGAATCCATCAAAGAGATGACATGCATTTCGAGATGCCTCGGCCTTTTAGAGAAAAGAATGTCCAGCTACCCAATAACCGTCCTCAAACAAAACAATGCCCGCACGGCCTTAAGAAGAGACTTCAAGGTGACGCAAAGTATTGCGCTGACTACGTCAGATTAACGGCTGAGATCACAGAGAAGGAACATACTCGAAAGGTCAAAGAAGAAGAGCTACCCCCATCACGAAGGAACGGTCTAAAACTTACCTCACCACGGGCTTAACCACCCCAAATACCTGGCAGCGTACGCGTTTTTGATTTTTCAGCTTGTTGTCAGGGTGAATCGCTTAATGGCCACTAATTGGAAGGGTGTGATCTAACAAGCAAGCTCACTGGTGTGGTTACAAGATTTAGAAAGGACAGAGTAGCTTTCATGGCGGCCATAGATGAATGTTTTTTCAAGTCAAGGATCCAAAGAAAAATCAGAACTTCCTTCGCTTCTTATGGTGGCCGAATGTTGATTCAACTAAAGAACCTCAAGAGTACTGCATTGTTAAAGAATGTAAAAACGCAATTTTGAACGTAAAAATATACCGTTGGAAATTAAAGATAAGAAGGTATTTGGTCAGTAATCAGTTTTCTAAACAGGAACAACCGTGCTCAAATTAGTTTAATTGTAACGTTTTAGTGTTAATAGAAATTGTACCTTTTTCTAAGATTATCTTAACGAAGAAAATTGTTACAAAACTCTCTTGTCGCCGTAGCCGGAAGCTTGCGGATCTAAACTTTTATTTCATAAAGAGTCTTTTGTAAAGGTTATTTTTGTTAACTTTCGACTATATAAATTCTTTTTGATTTTTTTAATCATGACCTTTTCAATCAATCTTCTCTTTACCTTGAGCTGCTCACACCTCTTAAAGTAATCAAAAAGTCGATAATGAAAAAGTATTGTAATCATCTTTCCTAGGTAAGAAATAGTTTCTATCTTGTACAGTTTTATTAAGCGTGTTACCTTGTGAAAAGCTGCCTTGATCTCGGATAAAGCCCGCCTTTTTTCATATTTAATTTGTTTACTTCTCGACAGTCATCCTGGCGTCGACGCCATATGTGGGTTGAGCTTGTTGTTGGTTCTCTCCCTTGCTCCGAGAGGTTTTTCCCCGGGTACTCCGGTTTTCCCCTCTCCTTAAAAACCAACACTTCCAAATTCCAATTCGATCTGAAAGGACACGTTTCAACGAGTTCTTATGAACTCCTTAGTGCTCCGTGGGTAAACAAATTACAATTTACAAAATTACAATTTACAATTTACAAATTTACTACTAGAAGTAAATATTGTAATCGGTCGAAATGTTTGGTTGCAATTTTAAGGTATTTTTACTAGACTTGTAATAGAAATTTTATGACCAAAATGATGCTTTAATTTTTCCTTGAAGTCTGGCGTTGTGTTCGTAAAAAGCAGTTAAGTTCTAGGTTTGAAAATCTACGAAATGCATTAACTTTGTGATGACGCATCGTCAGGTCGCAGCTGTCTTCTCGAAATTCAAGAACTGAATTTGAATGACAGTTCGCACCTAAAACTGTGGACTTGGCTGTTTCTCCATAAAAGCAGAACGGTAGAAGGACAAGCCATACACCGGTAGGAGTATACTGGCAACTATAAGGTCGACCTTTCATCCTCTAGGGCTGATCGCACCCGTCGTTCTTGTTGGAAAGCTGATAATTAAAGAGATCTATCATGGAAAAGACTAGGAAAAGCCAATCGAGGAAGACTTTCTTGCCAAGTGGGAAAGATGGAGAAGTCAGTTACAGCTACTAGAGCAGCTGAACATCCCAAGAAACTTTCAGCCCCCTGATTCTGAAAGCATTGCCACTGCTCAGCTGCATAATATGTCAGATGCGTCGCAAGTCGCATACGGACAATGTTCTCATCTCAGACTGGTTGATGAAAACGGAAGAATGCATTGTTCTCTCGTTATGGGATAAGCTCATGTAGCACCGTTTAAGACAATCACTATTCCAAGACTTGAACTAACTGCTGCTATCGTTTCAGTAAGAGTTTGTATGCCGAAAGAAAAGTTAGACTAATGATTGACTTCAAGACTTCTAATGGACCGATAGTAAGGTTGTTTTCAAGTTCTTCAACAATGAGTCCCGAAGATTTCAAGTGTATGTTGCAGATAGAGTGCAGTTCCTCCGTGACCACACTTCATCAGACCAGAGGCTTTACTTGGAGGCTGGATCCAGCCCAGAAGATGAAGCATCAGGTGGATGAACGCTTAGGAGTTTATGCAGAAGCGGCAGTGGATTAAGGGCCCAGATTTCTTGCGGCAGACAGGTCGCTGGCCTTAACAATACTCGTGCGAAAATGAGGTTGATCACAATGCTCCTGACAGTGCGACAGCGAAGAACACGAAAACATTTTAAGCAGTTTCGGAAGGTTCTCTAAGAGGCAAGCCTTAAGGCCGTAGTTGCCATTTGTATGGAATACAAAAGACGTCTTAAGATGAGAGTCAGTATAGCAGACAAGAGACCTCTACCTGTTGACGGTCCGTAAGTTAATGGACGGAGCAGTGAATGTGAGAGTTACCCGGCTACTCCAGAGACCTCGAATAAGCAAAGACAGAAATTCCCAAGATCGTGCAATTATTTCGATAAAGAAATCAGGACTCTGATAGATTCCAAACCCAAACCGAAAGGTGCGCCTAAAGATCGTCAGCATGATAAGGAGAAGAAAACAGTTTTGAAGAAAAGTAGCAACCTTAACGTCCTTGACTCGTACCTGGATGCCAACGGATTGTTGAGAGTTAGAGAACAGATAAAGAAGGCTAACCTCTCAGACAGTCTTAAAAACTCTGTCATCGTACCGAAGACTGGTCATATTACAGAGCTGGTCCTCCGCCACGCCTATGAGAAAACTCACCACAGTGGAAGAGGCGTCACCTTAAACGAACTTCGTTCAAGTGGCCACCGGAATATCAATGAGAATGCTGCAGTCTGACACTTCATATCAAGGTGTGTTACGTGTCGATATCACCGTGGTACTTTTGGAGAATAGAAAATGGCCAAACTCCCAGGTTTTCATATTGTGCGGTGGACTATTTCGGTCTATGGTATATTAAGGAAAAGGGAGGAAGTTGAAGGGTATACGGAGCCTTTTTTACTTGTTTCGATAGTCGTGCGATACATATCGAAGTAGCTCACTCCATGGAAACAGATTCATTCTTACAAGCATGACAGCACTTTTTCGGTCCTAGAAGACCCATAAGACAATTTCGCAGTGACAAAGGGACTAATTTTGGTGGGGCCGAAAACGAGTTAAAGGCAGCGTTTCAGGAAATAGATGGTGAGAAAATTAAAGCAGAGTTGTTTTAAAGGAGTGCATTGATTGGATCAGAAACCCTGCTACAGCAAGTAATTTCAGAGGTGTTGGGAACGACAGATTCGGTCCGCGCAGAACATTACGGCAGCACTTATGAAGGAGCATGGTCACAGCTTAAACGACGGATCATTGAGAAGCTGAAGCTGTTGTCAATAGTCATCTTCTGACTACCGAGACCTTAAGTAACCCGCTCTCACCGTTGTGAGTCTGCAGTAAAACCAAGCTTATTCTCCCACCTCCAGGAAAGTTTCAACGAAAGGATACTTACAGCATACATCGCTGCAGGCTCGTACATCATATTGCGTACGAATCTGGAATAGATGGAGTAAAGAATACCTGCAGAGCCTACAGTTGAAATAAAAGTGGACACATAAGAGAAGAAACTTTACGGAAGGCGACATTGTTCCATTAAAGGACAGCAAATTCTTGTAGGAAGAAGTGGCCCATGGCTAGAGTGCTTACAACACATCGTGATGATGAAGACCAAGTCAGACTGGGAATCCCCGACGAGCAACCTCAGGAACTGTTACGTGTCAGAATCATGATACCTACAACCCTTAGCAATTCCATTATTTGAAACGAGTTAGGGTAAGACTTGTTTTGGTTAAAATGACGAACATTTGAGGGGAGCCATGTAAATGATAGGCTTCTGTGTTAGGTTTCCAGTGCACTAGCTCCCAGTCCGTGCGATAAAACCTCGAAATACGTGTGGTTTTTATCGCTTCGATATTTTCGCCCTTTTTTCGCATGAAGATCGTTTAATTGGACTCACGAATCAAAGGAATTGAACATTACGGTGTCATTATGAATATTGCAGCCCTTTTCAAGGTTTCGAACACGGACACTTGCTTGATTTCTTATAGGGCATTGTATTCTAACAGTATGTTTAGCGTAGTTGATATGATCGAAATTCTTTCTTTAAAACATATATGAAAGGAATATAGCGATATATGGTAGGACTGTTTTAGCTTTCCTTTTCATGCAAGAAAAAGAGGTGAGATCTTAGCTTGCAAACACTGTTATGACTTCTACAAGTCAGAATTACCTTGCGTTATAGTTTCCGATTCTGGGAGTTATTATAACTGCCGATTTGTGTCAAAAATATGGTCTTGATATTCGTTTAAAATTTATTAGATTGTTTAATAGCTGCACCTTAAAAACTCGGAGATTTTAATTAAACGAGTTTGATGTAATGACCGTTTAAGTCCGTGCCATGCTGTGAGTAAAAAGTCATACTGCAAAGTATTTATAACGTCGTATCAACGTCTCTTACAGAAAGATGGGTATTTGATTAAAGCCTTAATTCTCAAGAGAATTCCTGATAATTCTCAAGAGGTTTCTTTGAATTACCTTGTCAAAATGATATTCACATTATTCTCGAGAATTCCAAAGTGTAACATTCTTGTAGACGAGCCCTTAAAAATTTCCGGGAATTGGCGGGAATATCCGAGAATTTATTGACATCGCAAGTTTTCTCAAGAATTATAAGAAGTTCTTGAGATTTGCCCTGTTCCCGAGAATTCTTGGGAATCATTTCGCACGGGAATAACGGTAACTACACAAGAGCAAGTGCACGAGTCACTCGCAATACCTTTACGGGTAGAGTTATTCTGACCTCGATCCAGTGAAAACACAGGATGTATCCACCTTCTAACCTAGAAGCAAACCCAAGGAATTAGAATTCTTTACAATGTCACAAACCATTGCCATGGTTTCAGGAGGGTGCGTCCTTTAACGTGGCACATATCGTTTTAAAAGTACGGTTCTGTTTTTAGGTAGTCGATTTTATGTTCTGCAGGTCAACCTGAGCCTTAACGTGTATCCACAGTTCCTCTTTACTTTGTTTATTAAAAGCAGTTTTTGCTAAATAATACAGTTAATATTACAGCAAAAACGAATTTCCTTTTTCTACTTGTAGATCTAGAAATGTATGCGAAGAAAGCATTTGAGGATTTCTCAGAAATTCCGGCGGAGTCAAGTTTGTGGGAGAATATCAGTTTTTGTTCCGATGTTCTAGAGGGAGCTTGGTACCAGCTCTACGATGACCAGAAAAAGCCTAAAAGGAATCAGAAAGTCAAAGACCTAATCCGTGGTACTATTGACAACTTCCACAGCACACTTGTCACTCAAAGTAAGGTTTGCGTTACAGTTGCTGTTTTTGGGCCACCTGGGACGGGTAAAAGTTTTCTTCTAAACCATCTTTTAACTGGTAAAGGTATCATGCAAAATGGGCCCCTACCTTCCGCTAAGGGAAAAAACCAGACACTCCTCCCCATTTATGTAACATACGGTAGGAATGTCGAGGTGTTGTTACACAAACAGAAAGCAAATGCAAACCCGGGTATACTTCTTCAGAAAAAGGAACTAGGAGAAGGCACCCTGGCTCATGTAAGGGAGATTCTTGAAAAGCAATTTCAGGACGAAGAAGGCTTAAGTGATGCGAGATACATAGAGGTTCGAGGGCCATTTAAAGTGTTCGATCAGTTGGGGGAGAGCAAGGTAGCACCCTCGCCACTTTCCATGGACGTTGATGTAAATTTCGTAGATGTACCTGGACTTGGTGATGAAACGGGGGACAAGTATATCAGTGAGGCACTAGGTAAGGCTGATATAGTGCTGTTTTTTAGCAGTGGGCAATCCGAGAGACCAGTTTCAGCAGAAGATATCGCACCGATATTTCGAAGGCGTGAAAATTTTGAGTTTACGTCCCGCCCAAAACTCGTCCACATTGTTAATGATAAAACAACACCCGCTTCGTCCCTCTCAGCAAAGTTTGATTGTTTGTTCCAGAAGAAGGAAGAAGAACTCAGGAAAGCATGGAAGCACCTTCTCCATAACATCGATAACAGCGAGAAAGAGCCTAATATTTACAAAGAGGTTCGAGAAAACCTTCCCCCGTTCTATGCGGAACATCTGCTTAAAACATTGTCTAGTGAGAGTGAAGTTATCTATTTTCATGTTGACAATGCCAAGTTTCTTAAATCCTTGAAGGATGTGATCTGTGAACACGTTCAAAGTGTGAAAAGTAAGGAAACCATCCACAAGTTTTTAAAGAACGTACACTGGGTTGCCAAAAAGCTCCAATGTGGAATAGTGCAGAGGCTTTCCGTTGTCAAAAGGAAAGAAATATGCGTAAAACCTATTGAAACTGCAGAGGCAAATTTTGTATTTCGTTCGGAAATGTATGAGCTAGAGGCCTGTAATCTTATCGATTCGTTCCTTGGCAAAGAGATGGACCGACTATTGGAATTAGATGCAGATAGTCTAAACAAGTCCCTTTTCCAAAACTTTGTGCTTTCTGAGGTTACTCGGACCTTTCTTCTTAAAGTGCTACGAAAATCACTGAAAATGTATGCAGTTGACCTGATTGAGGCCTACCAGAACAAAAACGTCTCTCTACTGGACGGGGAACCAGTAATTGACAATGGTGAGTTAGCTAAAACGATGTGCCTTAGCGAAGTGAAACGCTTTTGTGAAAGCACTGCACCAGCCTACTTGCTTCACGTTTTACAACTAAAGAGTAAACGGATCTCATTGCCAAAAAAAAAAACCTCGCATTGGGAGGGTACAAGTCTTGAAGATAAGCCTGACCTAATCCTTGAATACCTTGACGATCTTCTTTCCCGTGCCAAAGATGCCCTTATGATGTACAACACTCGTGAAGCGAAATATAAAATGTCTCATTTTCATTTAATGGGAAGGCTCAAAGATGTTGCTGAGACAATGCTTGCTACCAGATCTTCTCAAGATGCACGCAGGGCAGTATGTTTGAAGTCAATGAAAATAAAGTTGCCGATTGTAATTAAATTCTGCCATAAATCTATTCGTGATATTGATCCACACCCCAAATTAAATGGCCAGATTGACTTCGCGTTTCCCAAGCAAATGGTGAATACCAAGGAAGACTACAAAGTTCCATCAGAGTCTAACCATAAAAAAATTATAGAGGAAATGGTGAAGCTTCTGAGAAATCCTAAAAAGCCTGTCATAAAAGAAATTGCAACCAAGCTGAAGATGACGGGTGCTAGCGCTTTAGAACTTCGAGAGTCCCAGAAAGTAGACCCGCTTCATTGGGCAAGAGTTTTGGTTAATGTTCTCAGCGACAAAAGTCATTTTAGTATTCCCCTTGAGCCTGATTTAATCTTGCCATGTGACAAAGCAGAGGTCAAGAAACAGCTAGATTTGGCCAGGAAACGTCTATTTGCTCATGAGAAATCAACTCTTTCTTGTAAGCTAATTACTGACCAGAATTTAACCAAAAATGAAATTCATGTGAACAGGAATCTTCAAGAATGGTGTCTTGAGGTATCAATGTCCCCAACTACGTGTCAGACCCTTGATAGCATTCGAACGGAATTTAAAGATCCTTCACAACACTTGGCACCAATATTCATCCCCACAATCCGGCCAGGGCCGAGGGAAGATATTCGAGGAAACTACTTTCTTGAGGAAGACCCATGGAGTAAAATCTCAGGAGATGGTACAAGACTAGAAGAAGAGAGTGACAGGGAAGACGAGGAAATAAAAAAGGAAGCGAATGAAAGCACTGTTGTTCGCCAAAATATTTTTCTTGTTGTGGAGAAAAAACACCTAATTACTCTGCAGAACACGTTAGATGTCCTTGGGCATCCGAAGGGAAGCAAAATCAGGCTGATGTACGTTGTTTTGCCTCAAAACGGGCGAGGAATTGGCGTCACGAGGGCAATCATCAAGATTTTAGCCGAGTTCTTTAATTTTTGGATTTACTGGACCATTGATGACGATATCCAGTTTATGTATCACTTTAATCAAAATGATCGCAAGTGGTATAAATGCTCCATCAACAGTGGCCTACTTTTTGGACAGCGGGTTTTTCAGACTTGTTTGCAGAAGACTACAAAGGACCTCTCACCAACAGAGAAATTTAAACTTTTTACTAAGGTAACGAAAAGGTGGCCAGACTATCTCGACGATTTAAAGGGAACGGCGAATTCTCTTTTAATGGATCGAAATTCTTTTCAAGAAGTCCAAAACAACCCATCCCTTTTGCGTCAGCCATTTTCAAGCATCCCTGAAGGCATTCGCGGTGATAAAGAAAAAGAAGACGCATTTAAGCAGTACGAAGAAGACTTTGTTGAGGAATGTAAAAAGAGTTTGTTTGAAGACGCTATCAATCACATAGCAGGTGTTTCTCTTGCCCATATATCCACCAGAAAAGCCGACTACGTGAGCAAATATCCCAACGCCGACTACATGCCCAGCGAACAGCGATACCAGGTAGTTCTGAACAATACATGTGCTCTTAAGGGAAAAAACTTTGTCACAGATGAGGTGATATTTGATGAAGAAGAAGATCAAGTGACGAAGAATGACAAACGAAATACGCCTTATTGGGGTATAAGGGGTGAAGATAAGTCTTTCACTCGTGCACTCAAAGTCAGTGGTGTGATTGGCTATCAAGTGATTCGAATAAATCACAGCCAGAAGAAGTTAAGGAATGTTTTCGACCGGGTGGGTCCCTCTTACATCGGATCTGCGTCGCCATACAGATCTGAAGATGAGGAAGAGAACGAAGAAGAAGATTACTGAAACGTATTCACACTTTGTATCGGTACTTTGGAACAAGAGCCATGTGTATTTAACTTTGTAAATGATATGGCTAGTATTTCAATATAAAGAAATAAAGAAAAGCTGATCGAGCAAATTAATTGAACTTGAGTGTCTCGTTTGTATATTTTTTTTACGTTCTGTAGTTTTCGATTGGTTCATATTTTCATTTTTTATTGAATGTTTTTCAGTTGAGCGTTCCATGTTGTAACTAAATCCAGCTTTGTAATGACCTGCTTTGTACCGGGTGTAAATTAATAGTTCACTATCTATAAAATTGGGTAATAGAATTCCCTTATTTTCATTGTTGGGAGTGTTTAATAAACGGGTTCTTTCAGCGTAAAAGGGAATTAAAGACCTTAAACGTTTGTTGGAATGACAGAGGCACCCAACTAGAAAATAGTTCAAAACCACTTACACATAGCATTGTTAAACGTATTTTAGTATTTGAACGGTAGATATAGGCGTATTTTCATCCCCTAAAAATTTTTGATCTGTTCGGATTTCCTAGCTGAATGTCTAGTGATCCGAAAACTATAGGGATCAAAACTTGCCTTTTCGAAAATTTCAGCCAGAAAAAAAGCTCTCGAAAATTCTAGATGACCTTTCTAGGGTAAAAATCCGTCAAAAATGGGCAATTATAAAATTTTTTTATATGTTCGAAAATCCTTGGAGAGGCAGGCAAGCAAGAAATTTCACAACAAATGTTCCGAAAAATCTAGATCTTAAGTCGTCTTCCGAACAGATATTTTCCAAAAATTGACGTTGGGTGCCCCTGGGATGAAACTAGCTTGTTCGTTCTCTAAAATGGATCGTTACTGGATACAGCAACCGTGAATGATGATGATCGTACAATTGGAGAAAACTTAGTCTCAGTCTCATGTGGCCTATAACAGTATTTGTTAATTTTGATGCCTTAAAAATTGTAAGGACAAATGTTATGTCTATCTTACCTTAAAAAGGTGTTGGGGAAAATAAGCCCTTCAGTAAACCGACGTGGGAAGAGTACCTCGTCTAAACTGGTACATGTAAGTGGAACAAGTTAACGGGAGAATTAATAATAAAGATGATGTTAATTAATGGAAGTTATTAAGTTAATTTAAACATACAGTCAAAACGCCCTTATGACACCCTCGAGAAGACGAAAAAGTGGCCGCAGCTGGAGATAGCCACTGATAGGAATGTCTCATGTAAGCGGAGAGGTCAAATGCGATCAAAATGCGGCCGTAAGAGGATCTGTTTGCAAACGTGAGTGTCCAGAGAGCTTTGACTGTATTGCTTGGGTTTTGAGCTGGGGGTATTAGAACTTTGTACAAGTAAAGAAACGTTAGTTTTTAGTAAATTTTTATCGCACTTTTTCTGAACGATCCTAAGGCCCTTACTGTCGAAAATCACATAGAAATTAGATGACCTAGATATAAGAAGTATAGGTACGACACAAAATTGAAAATTCGTTGAAATAAGTAGGTTCGTTAAGTCCTCTCATCAGGCCATGCGCCCGTGAACTACCTTTTTCATGCTCACTTTAAGGTGGCGGATTTTCAACACTTAAAAACTGTAGTTTGCAGTGACAAAAAGTGCGGTAGCCTAGTTTCGAACCATGATCGTTAGAAAACGTTCTCCTTACCTTTAAAACGTTTGTTGCCTAAAAGAGGCACCGGTGTTCCTTGATCACCCAAGTACCATCACTATACTGATAGTCCTCTTAGCTCGTATAATTAAATATATTTTTTATTTGGTTTTCCCAGTGTTAGTCATGTGATGTTAATGAAGAGAAGTGAATCTGCTTTCAAATGTCAACTGATTTATGAGCGTGTACACACATAATTTTTGACAAGACAAAGGGCCAAGATTGTTTGTTTCTTGGTGTTGCGGAAACTACTATTGGTTCACTTTGTTTTGTAATACGGTATTTGTTAATCGCATCTGTCCATAGCACCAAGAAACAGCCCAAAAAGCTCCCCCATGAGAACATTACATGACCCACAATGGAAAAACGGGATCTGCCGTCTTGAAGTTGGTTAAATCTGCATGGACAAGTTAAAGAGATATACACCGTGCGTTGAACAATACTCAGAGCGCATTGTTGTTACAAAGGACTATTAAAAAGTTAATAAATAATAATAATAATAATAATAATAAAAACAGCAAAAACATAAAACAACAAAAAACATCTCTTTGATCCAAGAAGTCAGATTTTTCTTGATTGTACCATACTAGGGAGAAGTAGTTTTTCAATTTTACATTTGGCTTTCTTTTATTTGCACTTAATGTTTTTAAACATTTTATGAAAAAGGTGTAATCACCCCATAAAGTTACTTATAAACTTAAAGCGTGATTCTTTGTCAGCAACTTGGGTTATGTTTACCGTTTATGGTTTATCGAGAACAATGGATTGGTAGAATTTAGTGTCTGCCGCATGGCTAATAAATGTTCTAGAGTCTATTTTTATCTGACTATATTGTTTTAATTCTTAACTTATTTTTATAATGAATATATTGATACTTACCTAGTAAAACTTTGCATTGATGTAAAAGTAAGTGAAAGCTAAAGTAAATAGTTTGATAGCTATTGTAATGCAATGTAATAATCATTAAGTAGAAACTATTATTGAGGTTTCGTGTAGTTAAACGTTTTTTGCAATTAAAATTTGTATTTTTTTATCCTTAGAGTACATTGCAAATCCTCTTTGAATTAACACTCCTGGCGGGTTATTTTATCGTTTGTTTCATTACAATCACTTTGCTATTGATAGCGACGTTTCTATCACTTACCGCAGGTACTCATCAGGTATTAGGGAAATTAAGATAGAGACGTTTTCGGGGCGACGGCGACCGGACTGGCAGAGCAGGCCTGGAACAGAGGCAGCCGTCGCTTCCCTCCAAAATTCGAACATTAAGCTCGCAGTGAGCTCAGGGGGAAGGCGCCTTGGAGGACTACCGAAGAGGAAAATATGGCTTCACATAAAGAATTAAGAGAATTAATGCCGCTTATTTGCTTGCATGCAACAACAATTAACAACAACAACAACAATTACTTTATTTCAGTACTCCCACGTTAGTACGTGCTATTACCTACCGTTCTAAACAATTTTCAATACGTTTCATTTATACGATACTCTAACGAAAAAGGTGAGCTAAAAACAATTAAAATATCGGAGTTCATACTTTTTGTCTGGACGCTTTCATTTGCCTCGTAGGACAATTTTGTCCATGTAAAGAAAATTTATGGTTTGCTGTTTGCCATATTGGATCAGATTGGATCTTGACTCTTTGACATTAAACATAGAAACATTATAAAGATGTAAGCTTAGATAACAGAGCTTGGAAATCGAGCTTGAAATGTGACTCAAAGAAAACAAGGACAATTTAAGAACGGTAATCTGCAAAATTCTAGTTGCTAAACGCAACAATCCTGATTGAAATGAAAGTTAAATACACACGTTCTCGCCACAACGTCAAACAGACCAGTTTCACATCGCAGACGGGAGCACGACGGCAATGTGGTGAGCAAGAGCATGCGCAATATTACACAAATCATGATGTCACGTCCGGTTGAAGTTGCTGTCGCCTCGAAAACGTCTCCATCTTAAGTTCCCAAATGTTATCGACGTCACGGGCTGTACAAAACTAAACGTAGTACCGTGGTGAGTGGTGAATTTCGATCCTCAGGTTTAACTCGGTTGGTAAAGCGCTACCCTTCAAACCGCTAGATCTTCTTGTAGTGGCTAGGCATAAATAGATTGTGCTCGGCAACTTTTGAGCAACTTTTAGCGTTTTCAGTAACTTTTTGTACTGCGAGCAACCTAGAGCAACTTTTGCCTTCCTTGGCAACTTTTGAGTCAACAAATAGTTAAAAACTGACCAAACCATCAAAAAGGTCTTTATTAAATGGTTTTTATTAAAACTAGCGAGGCAAAGTTCAATGAAAAACGGCAGAATCTAGATTCAGACAGCAAAAATGGAAAAAAACCTTCAAACAGAGGAAAATGTCGAATAAACGGTGAATGAGAGCAAGATTGCAGTACTTACAGCGTAGGTTATAAAACTAGTGAAGCGACATCACGAGCCGCCTGTTGTGCTTTACTTTAGCGGTTTTCCTGGCTGAGTTGCTCGATTCTCCCTTCAGATGTTTTGTCTGTTTTTCCCTAGCTGACGCTAATAATAGCGCAAGTTTTAAAAGAAAAATGGTTCTGAATCACCGGTTTCGCTAACAAACTTGTGAATGAAGCTGCCAACGATCCGTCCGGGTTAGCGGGCAAGATCGTAAAAACTGCCCGCTCTCGGGACCAATCAGATTGCAGGATTTGGACGATTCCGCCCGCATTTTATTTTCACATGTGAAGATATCAAGTTTTCGCGCGAAAGCTCACCTGGTATTTCATTGGTGTTTATATAATAAATAATCTTATACACTTTGGCGCAAAACAATGTTTATGATCGTTGACTTTGTATCATTAACTTAGCAAGCTTCTCTGGTTTACCCTGCACCGTAGACGTAATCTAACCCCGGTTAGCGTTTCGTCTGTGTCTCAGATTGCTTTCCAAAAGTCAGAACTGGCCGGCTGGACCATGGTCGGACCAGTCATTTTGACAAATAAATAAGCTTTTTCCAAGAGTTTTTGCAGAAAACCATCTCCTTCGCACAAACTATTTAAGATTTGACAGATCTGGCTGGATAGTGAAAATTGAAAGTGAAATTCCCAATACGATGTTAATGGTCTGGCCGCTCAGTTCTGACAACTCAGGCTATTCTGGTTTCACATACACTACCGGGATATGCTGCACAGACAACGCTCCATTTTGTGTTGCGTTTTGGGTTCGTGGCTAGAAAAAGGGGTTTTAAACTCACCTTAGGAGTGAAAAAAATTGACCTCTCCATGATCGAAGTTACAGTGTGTGTGAAAATTTTTACGAGTTAGGAAGTAAGGGCATTTGCTGCCATAAAGCTACAAAAGGCTACATTAGAAACCGGAACGGTAC